GGTCTGTATGTGGGATCCGAACCCTCGGGCGGGAGCGCCGCCACGCTTCCCAAGCGGCGCACTATCCAGTGCGTCACCGGGCCGGCCCCTTATTATTTTTATTTCTACTTATAAAGATTCTACACGTTTGGAGCATTGGAAAAGAACAGAAATGCACAAGACAATAACAAAAATTCTTATTGGATAGTTCTTGATATTTAAATTTTTTCTCATTTAGAAGGGACCTATTTAACTGTTCTCTGTAGGAAGAGAAGGTACTGTAATTTGGTATGATTATTCCTTTAAAACCCATTCTAAAAAATACTTTATCCATCAAAAGTATAACACTAAAAAGGCCAAGCCTCATTTGAATTTTAGTAATGAAAACATTTTTTGTGAAAATGGAGTCATTCACTGTTGACTTATTTTTCTCTTTTGGTAGATGGGGTGTTTGAGGGGGAGGTAATAAGCCTTTATAATACTTCATTTCTTAGATGACATTTTGGCTCTTAGTGGGAAGCTTCAGCAAGATGTTCAGACATGGTAATTTCTTCCTTTTCTAGTGTTTTAGTGCTTTCTTTGTGAGGGCTGGTTCTCAATTGTAAGTAGCATTGGTAGTAGAGAGCTCCAGCATGCGCACCTTGGTTTTGATCCTCCCTCTGGGGCCTGCCTTCACAGTTTCTGTTTAATCTGGTCCACTTGTAATTGGACTAATGAAAATTAACTTGCAAATTGTGTAACAAGTAATTAACTGATGTTTGTAAAGTGCCTTGAAAATAAAATGCACTCTATAAATGTTAAGTATTATTGTGTGAGCAAAGTGAGTATGGTGTTCTTTTAAAGTAGTTCATCTGAGGGGCCAGCCCGGTGGCGCACTGCTACAGTACGCCACTTAGGAGTGCGGCGACGCTCCCGCCGAGGGTTCGGATCCCACATACAGACCGGTTCCCGCTCACTGGCTGAGCAAGGTGCGGGTGCGACACTGAGGGTTGCGATCCCGTTGCCGGTCCCGGTCTGGTACGGGCGCGACACTGAGGGTTGCGATCTGTTGCCAGACACGAAAAAAGAGACAAAAAAAATAAATAAATAAAAAATAAATAAATAAAGTAGTTCATCTGTGAAGCCATACATCCAGCTACAAATAACAACTAAATAGGAAAAAAGTGTAAGAGGCTGTTAAGGCTTATGAGGGTACTTCAAAAACTTCATGGAAAAATAGAATTAAAGGATAATATGAATCTTTCCATGAACTCTTTGAAGACCCCTCCTAAGTACAGTTTTCTTATTGATTGATGTACTTGAATTTGTCAAATATAGGTCTGTTAGGTGTGTTAATAGGACCTTTTATACTATTTCACCCTAATCTTCAAACAGATCTTATAGTAAGGGATTTTATTTTATTTTTTATTTTTTTTTGGCAGCTGGCCAGTATGGGGATCCAACCCCTTGACCTTGGTGTTAACAGCACCATGCTTTACTGAATGAGCTAACTGGCCAGCATGTGATTTTAAATTTTATCTCATTAGAGTCATCAAGTTTTAGGACCGTGAAGGGTCTAGACATTTTCAGTCCCTCATTTTACAGATGAGAAAGAAAACAGAAAGTTTAGGTGGCCTGTCCAATTCACACCATAGTCACTGAACTACAATATTGGCCTCTTGGCTTTCCCCCTCTGATTACCAGAACAAGGCTAAGCTCATCCATCTCCTCCTATATGAATCCTTTCCTAACACTCTCAGGTAGAAAGGCTCAGTCCCTCCTCCGTGCGTACACGGTACTCTGTATAGATTTCCTAGTACCTGTAACACTTTATTCCATTTCTCTATTCATGCCCCTCTTGCTACTCAAAGTGTGGTCTGTGGACCAGCAGCATCAGCATCACCATCACCTAGGAACATGTTAGAATCTCAGGCCCCCCTCCAGATTTGCTGAATAAGCATCTGCTTTTTAACAAAATATTCAGGGGATTCGTATGCACATTAAAGTTTGAGAAGCTCTGTCCTAGACTGTTAGCTCCTTAAGCTCT